AGGAGTGGACCATCAATATCTATTGTACAGAAACAATATGTTCACTGCCTGGCTGTGAATTATTTAAGCCCTATTATCGATCGAAGGTGACACGAACAAATATTCATCTTCCGGATGTAGGTATAAATCGAAGGACAGAACACACACGTGGTTTCGAGTGTTGTTTAGAAATTAATTGATAATTATTCCTTTGAATCCTAACTTTACGCCGTAATTAGGGAATGGAAATTACACTAATGCGTTGTCATTACAGGGACATTTTGTCTAATCCATATCTTGACTTACCACGGCAAAGATATGTTTTAATTGTGATATGCAGGGGGAGGTTTGAAATTTGGTTTAACGTTGTGTTCAAGATTATTGAGCTTAGATATATATAGCGACGTGTGTTGGTGTGTGTGTTTATATATGGTTGTCTGTTTGATATGGGATCATCCCGATTTTATGGTGCTCCGAGCCGAACAGTCCTTGTTTTACCCCTTTAATGCCGGGCAACAGGCAAGGTAATAAAAAGTACCATATTTTACCTTCCTTTGGTATGGTGCGGCCAGACCTACCGCTGGCAGACACTGTATCCACTAGACAGCGGAGGCCCTACGGATATACCATGAAAGCTAGTTAATCTGAATTAAGAAATTATGGGGACGGAGTGATGTCCCTTTGTATACGTATAAATCAGTCCCCTGCAAGGTCGGCGGAAAGAAGGGGTGTCTGGATGGATAAAAAGGTCCGGGCTGTGCCGGAAACGAGGTTTGACTGTAGATAGAAGCAGGAAATCGCCTTTTTTTAAATTGCTAAATAATCCCACCAGTAATACGCACTTCGTTTCTTTGTATGACAGACATATTAGGCAGGTCAATTTAAAAAGCACAAAAAGGTTTTCATTAACCATAAACGCCAAAGAATACCCAATCCCGATTATCCGTGCAAAAACATGTTTAGAATGATCTTTCAAAATACTTTCAATAGGATAAACAAATTCGAACAGGTGCAATATAGGCATTAATGTCTTGACAATAAGGACCGCCTCCGTGGTCTAGTGGTAGAGTGTCCGCCCGGAGAGCGGAAGGTCCGGGGTTCGATACCCGGCCGCGTCATACCAAAAGACGTTAAAAGATGGTACTTGTTGTTACCCTGTCTGGCGCTCGGCGCCAGGGGCTAAAACAAGGACTGGTCGGCTCGGAGTCAGTATACTGTGTCTGAGTGGTGTATTCATGTTAAACTGAGGCATGGTATCTCAGTGAGCTAGCACTATAAATCGGCATCAGTCCGGACTAGTACAAGCAGCCACACAAACACACACACGTACATGCACGTCGCTATATAAGTGCAATAATCTTGGTCGCGACATTAAACCCCATTTCACCTCACCTCACCTTGACAATAAGCTTGTGCTTGAGTTTACGTTTATCTTTTGACCTGACAACAAACCAGTTGGTATGATCTCAACTCACGGACTTGTCCACTTTATGACTTTCATTTATTCGTCTGATTGAAAAATGGACAAAAAGGATTTACCATTGGGATCTGGAGAAATGTAAACAATCATTAATCGATTCCTTCCGTGCGTGGATAGATGGAACAGAATATTTTTGGAGTACTTAAAATGACACAATGAACACTTTCTTCGTTCAAATGCTTGATATTGACAAATGCAAAAAAGTACAGGTATTGTTTCCAGTTTAGGTTAATGGGTATACACTGTGGAAAGATAGTAGACCGTGTGAACGAGAGAGTTGTTTAATTGCCCATGGGATTATAAACAACCGAGTTCATAAATATCGTATGTGCACTACTGCAAATATCACTTCTCGCGCGCAAGTATTGATTCGGTCATACGAACGGCATTGTTGACGTCATTCGAATCTCATTGTGACGTAAGGTCAGAATGACGACACACTAGATATGACGTCAAAACTGATGACAGATGACGTCATTCGACACATTTCGGTTTTCTGGGACAGCTTTGGTGATCAGTGCATTTTTCTAAAGGAGTGCTCAAAAGGATTAAGAAATAATGAGTAATAAAGAAATTATTACAATCACATATGTACACTCGCTCTCGCTTGGGAAATACAAGAATTCTGACACTCGTTTCGAAAATTCAGAATGATACACATGTTCGTATAACAGTCTCCATTTGTTACCCACGTGGTGAAGATACAGGTGGTAAGATACTAAATCCGTACGTCACACGTGTGTCGTACAAGGTTGACTTCGTTTTATTCGTTTTGATTGGATAGCCGTGACCTCTGTCACACCGGAACTACTTTTTCATTCACAAGGAAATCACGAGACGTCATTCATTATTTACAAAACGTTTTACAACCTCGAGGCAGAACTGAAGGAATCGAGGAAACGAGAAACATTTACAACAAAACAAGATAGTCATAAGCATCAAATTCGCTATGCATTCAGTTTTAGTTATGCATAGAACTACTATAGACATTACATGTACATAATCGAGCTGGATCAATTTGCAATGTACAACCACGGATAGATCGAAGGTGCCTTGGGCGTGACGCACCAGACCACTTTCGCGACTTTCAATTTGATTTAAAGGTAAACAGTTAAGCGTGGTGAAATGAAGTCAGTTTAAACCATCTGAACAGATATCTAGACTAACGTTGGATGCCCCGATGGTGCTATCAGTATTCCCTTCCAAACGTATTTTGTGGCACTGTCGTGGAAGGTGCTTGTTCATGAGTGAGTGAGTGAGTGAGTATGGTTTTACGCCACTTTTAGCGATATTCAAACAATATCACGGCGGGGGACACAAGAAATCGGTTTAACACATTGAACCCATGTGGGGAATCGAACCCGGGTCTTCGGCGTGACGAGCGAACGCTTTAACCACTAGGCTATCCGACCGCCTCTGTTTGCTCATGAATGAACGTAAACGACTTCACGATGAGATCACAAAAAGTGAACAGTTCATATACAAATCATATGAAAACTCCGTGGAGGTGTGCCTGACTTAAGATTTTGTGATCCAAAACATCCCAAATATGAAGAACATGACATGCACGTGCAACATAACTTGGTGTGCTACAAAAACGTTGTTTTTTTCATATGCATTCCATCAAAATTCTATTCAAATGAACAGTGAAAACATGCCAGGATTGACGGAAGCCACCTGCCGACTGCAAACAGGAGAATCACCTTCAGCTGTTTTTCAACGTAACACTAAGCGCCATTACGAGACTATGGAACCTTTATCAGACACAATGGACAACACGTTACGCTTGAATTACCATAATTTGACGAAATTCTTTAAAAAATATCTTGAGCGCTGGTGCTGTCATGTTTGTGCACGCAACAGTAACATATACTCACACGCAAAAGAAACGCAAGTGGTTTTAAGCAAATAGGTAACAAACACGGAACCATAAATTGATACGAGTTTTAGCATGTAGTGAAGCCTGATGGTGTTATCAATATTTTTGGTTGCATTTTGGAAGCCCCTAGTAAAAACGCAACTTAAAAATCGAATCGCCAAAATGAACCATTTCAATGAATATGTGGGTATCATGCACCCATTTCTCGCGAAATCGAAAATGCACGAGCTGTCACGATCTGTAGTGGGTATAAAACTGTGGCCGATTCTTGGACCTACCACTCCTTGGTCAACAATGCCACGCTTAACTCAAATTCAGAGAAACCAGGCTATCGGACGTTTGGAAGCTTGAGAGTCTGTACAAGATGTTGCCCGTCATTTCAACGTTAACATAACCACAATTTACCGTCTCCTGCATCGATACAATGCTACACAGACCACAGATGACCTTCCTCGGAGCGGTCGTCCTAGGGTCACCACACCTCGACAAGATCGGCAGATTACCCGTCAACACCAGCGACATCCGTTCCTAACTGCAAGTGAAAGTGCTCGACAGACCATAGGAACACATATTCGACACATTAGTCGGGACACTGTGATCCGACGTCTCCGTTCCAACAACCTCAGATGTCGCCGACCAGCACGTGGTCCTGTTCTCCAACCACGGCATCGACAAGCACGACTTCAGTGGGCACAGGGTCATCGCAATTGACGTCATCGTGAGTGGAGGCGTGTCATCTTCTCTGATGATAGTCGCTTTTGTGTCTCCCATGCAGACGGAAGAGTCAGAATTTGGCGGCATCGAGGTGATCGTTTCGCTGACAGAAACGTCGTGGCAAGGGATCCATGGGGTGGACCTAGCGTCATGATATGGGCAGGGATTGGACTTAATGCGAGACTTGGACCCATGTGCTTTCTGAATCGGCATCACTGCTCAGCGGTATATCGACCAAGTGATCAGACCCCACGTTGTTGCATCAACAACACATTTTCCAGCAGGACAATGCTCGTCCCCATGTTGCCAGAGCTACCATGGCCTTTCTGCAACAACACAACATCCGTGTTCTACCGTGGCCAGCCCTCGGCCTTGATCTAAACCCCATCGAACACTTGTGGGATGAGGTTCAAAGGCGTCTGTACAATGTGCGCCCAGTCCCTACAACTGCCGATGAACTACGCACAGCTGCTCTGTCTTCAGTCAATTTTTTGTCAAGCTTGCCCTATTAGTATTTCTTGTCTTTACTGTTGAAAATAAATAACATGTATACTGCATACTCGACTTGTGTTTCTTTTGCGTGTGAGTATATTATTAACGCGTATACATAGAATGTCAACAATGCACATATTTTGGCATACACTTATATTCATGCGCAACCAGATTTGCAACCGGTTTCAGTTTGGTCTGTAATCGGACGAATGTTTGTTATGTATGTACACTTAAATACATATTTAACGTGCTTAATAAATTAAACACACACTCATTTCTCGTTAAATACCCTTTTTACGAAACACGTGAACTTTCTATGGTATCAGACCTCGGAAAAAGGGCATCTGGCGAGAATGAGTGTAGTATTCTCTATTTAGGAACTCGGTTATTTCTAACCCTGTGGGTAATAAACATTAATTGTAGCCAAAGGGTTAAAGTGTGTCTTTGTTTCCTCAGCAGGAGTACGAGGATGGATAGCTGATGGCAGTAACTACATCATCGCATGCCCCAAGCTCCCGTCCGCCAGTCTGGTGAAGTGTACCCTTCACGTTCAGGGCTCAGAGGGCACCGAGATCACACTCAACGGGTCGGGGAGTGGTTACCCCAGGACGGAAACCATTACAGACCTGTTGGCGATATCAATAGTTATACAGGAGGCATCTTCCTCTGCCTTCATCCTAACCGTACATACAACAGACGTCGTGTCGATCTTTGTTCAAAATGAGGCAAACGGTACTACATCAAGTTCTTACCTGGCTTTGGCTCTAGATGCTAGCCTATCTGTACCCTACACAGGCCCCAGCTTTGAGAATGTCTTTATGTCCTTTCCTATATCACCACCGGAACATAATCTGTACATAGTGGCATCTGCATACGCAGCCACAGTGGTGACAATTGGCTTGAAGTCCACAGGGCCTGTTGTTTTTGAAAGCATAACATACTATAGCGGAGACACGATAACCGTGTCTGTAGGTGCTCTGCTTGGCATTGAGATCATCACAGAGGAAGACTTGACAGGCAGTCTTGTAACCTCGGATAAACCCGTCGGAGTGTTCTCGGGAACCATCGTTGGAGAAACACTGGAGCAGATCCCCACAATGTCCAAATGGGGGACCCCTACCCCTGTGCTTAATACGGATCTGTGCAACTCGGACATGTTCTTGGCAGTAGTGTCAGAAGCGGGAACGTTACAAATTAATGAAAACAATTCTGTGCTTGAGATACCTTTACTCAAAGGTGGCGCTCACCAATACTCGCCCAACAACACCGGAATGATCCAAGGAACATCAGCTCTGGTGGGACTGAGATGTCTGATTGGAGAAAACGACAAACCTCTACTTCTGACTTTAAATACTTTTGCGTCCCTGGGAACCGAATACAAATGTGTCACCTTCTCCGGATTTGTTAATACATTGTACATCACAGGTTTCAAAACTGTTGATACTCCATATGATATTAATGGACAGGCTGTCAATTTCACCCTGGTTGACACTTACAGTGCCGCTACTGTCAGTACGTTTAGAGAGCGTGTGCCTGACGGGTTTTTTGTTGTAAAATCATACGACACATTTCCCTTCTTACCATACGTGATCGGAGTGACGCCTGATGGGACCAGTGCCTATGCGCATGCGTGTGCGTTGGGTTCTTTAGGAACCCTTCTACCAGGTGAGTATTTATAGTATAATTAAACAGTCGAGTATGTTTGGCAACACCTACCTACATGTAGATACTTCCAAGCCCACTCACGCCCATATATATACCATCGGTAAATGTTGCGTTCTTTCATATATGTCTTCGTAATCCACTTTCGTTTATGGTATATTGACCGTGGTCTAGTGGTAGAGCGTCCGCCCGGGGAGCCAAAGGTACGGGGTTCGATCTCCGGCCGCATCATACCAAAAGACGTTAAAAGATGGTATTTGATGTTACCCTGTCTGGCGCTCGGCAATAAGGGGCTAAAACAAGGACTGGTCGGCTCGGAGTCAGTGTACTGTGTCTGAGTGGGGTATTCATGTTAAACTGCGGAATGGTATCTCAGTGGGCTAGCACTATTAATCGGCATTAGTACGGACTAGTACAAGCAGCCAGCCAGCCAGCCACACACACACACACACACACACACACACACACACACACACACACACACACACGTCGCTAAATAAGTTACGCCCCATTTTACCTCACCTATTATATATTTCAGATGGGAACTTTTATCAACATCTGTATTAAAAAATATACAGCCATGACATTTGTATAGAATATACAAGATTAAGGTATCTGGATGAACATATTATTATTATACAATTAGGAGCGACGTTTCGGTGAAGGTTCTAACACCGTTACCAAGCAAGTTTACCTGCACGGAAACGTCGCTCCTAATTGTAATAAAGAAGTTGTTCATCCATATTTCTTATGCTTACTTAGTACTCCAACTTCTAAATGCCTCTCAAGGAAGTTTTATAGATGACGAATTTCTTTAATGTTTGTATATAGTGAATCGTGTTTGGGTGTTTTTAGCAATATTTCAGCAATATCACCAGAAATGGGCTTCACATATTGTACCCATATGGGGAATCGAACCCGGATCTTCGGCGTGACGAGAGAACACTCATATTCAAATATCAGAATAATACCGTATCTTGAAAACCTCTGAATTCAACATTTTAGCTCAAACATTTTAGCTTACCTAAGCATTTGGTAACCTTATAATCTCAAAACATGTATAACGATTTCTGAATATTTTCCTCATTTTTTTTAATTATGTAGATCAAACTTATTCCATGAAATTTACTTTCCCTCTTTTGGTTTCTGTTCGAGCAGATATACAACCGACAACTATATATTTGTTTGTTTGTTGTTTAACGCCGCACTCAGCAATATTCCGGCTACATGACGGCGGTCTGTAAATTATCGATTCTTGACCAGACAATCCAGTGATTGACATCATGAGCATCGATCCAAGCAAATGGGATCGATGACATGCATCAACCAAGTCAGCGAGCCTGACCACCCGATCCCGTTAGTCGCCTCTTCCGAAAAGCATAGTCGCCTTTTACGGCAGGCATGGGTTGCTGAAGACCTATTCTACCCTGGATCTCCACGGGTCTCATTGTCATTGAGACTTTAATACAAATCAATGCCCCCAACTGTGTTAGAAAACGAACATATTTCTTAAATGTTTCTCTCTGGTTGTAAGCAGCAGAATCGCCGCACGTATACCTTGCAGAAGTAATTCAAAGTTAATTCAGTTTAAACAATACGAGTACACGCTGGGACGGGTAACTCGGGTACTCGGGGCGGGTGGGTCCTGAGTTTGACCCGGGTACTCACAGTACTACCCGGACCCGTCGTTAGTCACGTGATATATTGTTTAATGACAAAAAATCACTTGAGACCCGGGTAGGGTCAGGTAATAGGGGTATGGGTACCCGGGTAGTAAATTTGGACTCGTCCAAGCCCTAGTGTACGCTATCGTGTCACTGGTTAGTCTTGTCCAGACTCGCTACCTCTGGCTTGTCTGGTCCAGACTCGCTATCTCTGGTTAGTCTGGTCCAGACTCGCTACCTCTGGCTTGTCTGGTCCAGACTCGCTATTTCTGGTTAGTCTTGTCCAGACTCGCTATCTCTGGTTAGTCTTGTCAAGACTTGCTACCTCTGGTTAGTCTTGTCCAGACTCGCTACTTCTGGCTTGTCTGGTCCAGACTCGCTACCTCTGGCTTGTCTGGTCCAGACTCGCTATCTCTGGTTAGTCTGGTCCAGACTCGCTACCTCTGGCTTGTCTGGTCCAGACTCGCTATCTCTGGTTAGTCTTGTCCAGACTCGCTATCTCTGGTTAGTCTGGTCCAGACTCGCTACCTCTGGCTTGTCTGGTCCAGACTCGCTATCTCTGGTTAGTCTGGTCCAGACTCGCTACCTCTGGCTTGTCTGGTCCAGACTCGCTATCTCTGGTTAGTCTTGTCCAGACTCGCTATCTCTGGTTAGTCTGGTCCAGACTCGCTACCTCTGGCTTGTCTGGTCCAGACTCGCTATCTCTGGTTAGTCTTGTCCAGACTCGCTATCTCTGGTTAGTCTTGTCAAGACTCGCTCCCTCTGGTTAGTCTTGTCCAGACTCGCTACCTCTGGCTTGTCTGGTCCAGACTCGCTATCTCTGGTTAGTCTGGTCCAGACTCGCTACCTCTGGCTTGTCTGGTCCAGACTCGCTACCTCTGGTTAGTCTTGTCCAGACTCGCTATCTCTGGTTAGTCTTGTCCAGACTCGCTATCTCTGGTTAGTCTTGTCCAGACTCGCTATCTCTGGTTAGTCTTGTCCAGACTCGCTACCTCTGGCTTGTCTGGTCCAGTCTCGGGGCTTGTCTTGTCCAGACTCGCTATCTCTGGTTAGTCTTGTCCAGACTCGCTATCTCTGGTTAGTCTTGTCCAGACTCGCTATCTCTGGTTAGTCTTGTCCAGACTCGCTATCTCTGGTTAGTCTTGTCCAGACTCGCTATCTTTGGTTAGTCTTGTCCAGACTCGCTATCTCTGGCTTGTCTGGTCCAGACTCGCTATCTCTGGTTAGTCTTGTCCAGACTCGCTACCTCTGGCTTGTCTGGTCCAGACTCGATTGCTTAATACATCGTCGTCGAATGATGGTGCGACATTTTGGCAACAAAGGAAGACAAGTTTTGTGAGTGACGGGTGCTACCGGTGGAGCGGGTGGTGCTCACGCTTTTCACGAACACCTGGTGTCTTGACTGATTTTTAGTGATCCATTCATATACTTTTTATCATTGTTTTGCCTTTTACGTCCAATGGAATCTATTTCGGCGGGGTAGAGCGTCCGCCCGGAGAGCGGAAGGTCCGGGGTTCGATCCCCGACCGCATCATACCAAAAGACGTTAAAAGATGGTACTTGTTGTTACCCTGTCTGGCGCTCGGCATTAAGGGGCTAAAACAAGGACTGGTCGGCTCGGAGTCAGTATACTGTGTCTGAGTGGGGTATCCATGTTAAACTGCGGAATGGTATCTCAGTGGGCTAGCACTATAAATCGGCATCAGTCCGGACTAGTACAAGCAGCCACACACACACACACGCATACACGTGCATTCACGTCGCTATATAAGTGCAATAATCTTGGACGCGACGTTAAACCCCATTTCACCTCACCTCACCTCACCTATTTCGGCGGATAATTGAGACATTATTTGTGAGTCGACTTATTATGTCATTTACGTCTGGTATTTTACATCCATTATTTGTGCTTACACAGTTGTTTCTAATACGAAGCAATGGCGATACTGTTAAAAATATAGTTAATGAAAATTTCATAATCACTAAACAGTTCACGTTTGTAGAAATAGGAGATTAAGGGTTTATTGTGATTTGATACCTCTGTTTGACCAATCAAAATGGACTATTTTTAATATTACGTACTTATATGCACAGAAAATTGATGCTCTTCGATCCCTAACATTGTTTCTTATAAACATATAGCGAATATATTTCAACGTATAATTAGGGCACATGGATGGTCCAGGCGCTACAATTCCCTCCCCTTGTTATGCCGGGATCCGCTGCTTGTGGGTTCAATTCCTAGATTCGCCTTCATTGTGACCCATGGTTTGACAGCACCATACCTGTCTTCGTGAGTTCAAATCGGAGTGGTATGTCTGCGGTCTGCCTCATTCTGCGTTGGCCTTCCGAATTAAGCTGTTACTCTGTGATTGAACTGAATATGAAACTCAAGTAACCAGTCTCCGAAACAGATTCCATTGATCGTAAATATCAGCGGTGAAACTTATATGAATGGATCACTGAAAATGACACCAGGTGCTCGCGATGAGGGTACGCATGCCCTGCTCTACCGGTAGCAGTGCGCAATATTTCATGCGACGGCGGCCTGTAAACTAAAAAAAGCAATCAAGTGATCGATGGACCGGAAAGTCCAGTGACACGATAGTGTATATACTGTTCAAAGCGGCGCTAAACCCTTCTCACTCACTCTCAAATCGACCCGTGAAGATCCGGGGTAGAATAGGTCTTCAGCAACCCATGCTTGCCATAAAAGGCGACTATGCTTGTCGTAAAAGGCGACTAACGGGATCGGGTGGTCAGGCTCGCTGACTTGGTTGATGCATGTCATCGTATCCCAATTGCGTGGATCGATGCTCATGATGTCAATCACTGAATTGGCTGGTCCAGACTCGATTATTTACAGACCGCCGTCATATAGCTGGAATATTGCTGAGTGCGGCGTTAAACAACAAACCAACCAACCAACCAACCAACCACTCACAAATCCAAATAATGTTACTTGTTGCAGAGCCGTCTAGTAGCCTTCCCAGTGCTCTTACGTCAATGTTAGATTCCGCCTCTGAGTCTGTCCACGTGACGTCATCGATTACGGAAACGTCAGTTGACGTCGCACTGTCTTCAAGTGTGGATATTGCACCAAGTTCTACTCTTGCAGAGAGTTCCTCCTTATCGCAGAATATGGAATATTCTACATCAGGTACGACAGATGACAGTTGAAGTATTTCTATGTAATCTATGCATTTATTTATTCACTTACTTCTCATTAGTAATGGGGTTTTTTTAAATACAATCATATAATTTTGTTGTTTCAAGTTTATACAAATAGAACTAATGTATAAGTTAAATATAATAAATGTTAAATAGTTAGGCTATATTTATCTATTCTGAAGACTCATGTACGCCAGCATAAATTGTGACCACCAGAGGGACTTTATGGGTGTAGGGGATAGAATTGTGCTTTGGCATCATAAAGATGTTTAACGCCAACTTATTACCTTAAAAACCGCAATTCGAGCTGACTGTACAAAAATATAGTTAGTTCGTCATGTAATAAAACATTATTTTAAAACATTTTAGCATATATGTGTACTTACAATTAATTAGACATTATATCTAAAACATGTAATAATTACATAAAGAGTTAAAAATCTGAAAATGGGCCTAAGCAGAAGATGAGCGTGTTCCTAAGATCATGTAGTTTTAAAATATAATCTGAAATCAAAATGTGATGTGATTTTTCACCCATTATGTCCCTTATCTCCTGGTTGGTCAGGGGGCGGTCGGGTAGCCTAGTGGTTAAAGCGTTCGCTCGTCACGCCGAAGACCCGGGTTCGATTCCCGACATGGGTACAATGTGTGAAGCCCATTTCTGGTGTCCCCCGCCGTGATATTACTTGAATATTGCTAAAAGCGGCGTAAAACCATACTCACTCACTCACTCATGGTTGGTCACAATTGATAACATGAGAAGTGGCCACGAGTGTCCGAACGGTCTAGGGTGATACAACGTTGGTTGCCCTACCTAATCTGTTTGGATCAACTTGCCGTCCTGATCGTAGATTCATTGATCTAGTGTGATCACCCGGCTGAAATAGCTGAAACAGTGCTGAAATAGAGTGAAGCGTAAACAACATTCCCCCAGACACTCATCCAGAGTCCGTAAACGATCCAGTTGACATTAAACGAACATGTTTGCATAAAATATATTATATGTTGTTATCATACCGAAAATATAATCTGAAAGAGAGTTGTGAACAGGATCTGTCCCACATGAGAATATTTCTGATCATGAAGTCTTTAAACGCATATATTATTCACATATTGGCGACCCAACTTGAGGGCGGTGGGGTAGCCTAGTGGTTAAAGCGTTCGTTCGTCACGCCGAAGACCCGGGTTCGATTACCACATGTGTACAATGGTGAAACCCATTTCTGGTGTCCCCCGTCGTAATATTGCTGGAATATTGCTGAAAGCGGCGTAAAATAATACACTCGGCCCAACTTGTAACCGTCTTGTCCTCTTCTTAATGGAAATATTTCTGCAGGTCACGTCACTGTCTTTAAACACATGTAAAAATTACTGTTGTCGTAGAACCAACTACAAGCGTCATGGATGTCTCGCCATGGGCGTCAAGTGATGTCGCATCAAGTTCTGCTCTAGCGGCAAGTTCTTCCTCGCAGAACATGGCAGCTTCTCCAACGACAGATACTTCATTTTCGTCGACCGCCCAAGTTGTGGATAACAGCATTGCATCGTCATCCCCATCCGCTACTGATGCAGCAACAAGTGACACCAGCCTTGCAACTTCCTTCTACATTCTCGCAACATCTACCAGCAATAACGCAGTCACCAGTTCATTTGCATCCTCTAACAGCAATAACGCAGTCACCAGTTCATTTGCATCTTCTACCAGCAATAACGCAGTCACCAGTTCATTTGCAACATCTACCAACAACAACGCAGTCACGAGTTCATTTGCAACATCTACCAGCAATAACGCAGTCACGAGTTCATTTGCAACATCTACCAGCAATAACGCAGTCACGAGTTCATTTGAAACATCTACCAACAACAACGCAGTCACGAGTTCATTTGCAACATCTACCAGCAATAACGCAGTCACCAGTTCATTTGCAACATCTACCAGCAATAACGCAGTCACCAGTTCATTTGCAACATCTACCAACAATAACGCAGTCTCCAGTTCGGCCGTGACCCTATCACCGACTGGAACCACCACGACACCGTCGGTTTCAACAACACCGATGCAGACAACAGCACTCGCTCCTGTCACAGCGGGCACCCCAAGTGAGGTTCAGGAGATCTGTCTTTGCAGGTGTGGTGAGAGGTTGATTTTGGCCAACGAAACCAAATTGTTTCTGGAACAATTTGATATAGAGATTAAGGAGAACCTAACTCTTGACACCAAGTCACTATCTGCCTACATTCGCACTAAAACCAGCGCAGAGGATGAACGTCCGTCAGCTCAGAACTTTGGCTACCTAGGTATATCTATGTTGTCCATCACGTTTGGTGTTTTAATATTATCGGATCTTCTCAGCCTTTTTAAAATCGCCTCAAAAAAGAAGACGTCTTAAGCATCTTGAATGTGAAATTATGCCTAAGATTGTTTTTGTATCCAAACACTGTCCTGACTCTTGTTTCACGAGACGATGAACATAGACTTGAAGATGAACATGGCTTAGGCCTATTGGGCGAGTTTGTATTTCAGTTACATCAAGGCGTTTCACCTTCAGGATGGAGGAAAGGCCGAAGTGATGCAGGTCTTTAATACTTTGGCGAAACCCACGAGCACGTGTATGTTGTTGCAACCCGGAAACATCATCAGTTTAAACCAAGATTCGAACCACTATCCTGGGTTCCTGGCTGCCTAATGAACGTACTTCTGCATAGCGACTTACGTCGTTTCAGACGACAAGGCCACCTGTGCCCATAAGAGCCGCGAGAAAGTCTTCTCCTCTCACATATAGCAGGGGCGGTCGAGGTAGCCTGGTGGTTAAAGCGCTCGCTCGTCACGCCGAAGACCCGGGTTCGATTCCAGACATGGGTACAATGTGTGAAGCCCATTTCTGTTGTCCCCCGCCGTGATATTGCTGAAATATTGCTAAAAGCGGCGTAAAACCAAACTCACACACACACACACTCACATATAGCAAGCTTATCTCCACAACATAGAGACACTGGCACTTATTACAGCGTCTAGAGCGTGGACGATAAATAGTAAATCCTCTCCATAATATATATATTGAACCCACGTGATACGATGTTTATTACTGTTATGTGTGTGTAAACTGAGAACCTTATGTGCCTAGAACCCGCGTTCGATGGAATCACGGGACTTTATTTGCATTGAGCCCACATGGCGACAACACTTCCGGGCAATAGAAAGTATTCACTTGAAAACTGGTTTTAAAAATTAAATATATTCGCATAATACACAACTTCTGGTGGGTATCTCTGACAATAATTCAATCATGGTTGGGATCATGTGATTGCAGATTTATTTCATTCTCCCGTCTTTGAACATTGAACCAATTTATTTTTACTCAAAATTACCCAGTCACATGTTACTTTTTACAAACTGTTATGGTAAAAAAGGACATAATCTAATCAAAGTTCGTTTTTTTATTTTTGATAACAGAAAAGTTATGTATACTTTCTTTTGCCCCTCAGTTAATGTTCAACTGTGGCATTTACTGTGTATAGAGACATATTGTACATATGTATATTATCTGAGTTATAACAGCAGTTATACTCAGCAGTTAATCAAAGGAACCTGTTCACATTTCCACGTGACCCTGTTGTTTTTGTTAAAACAACTGTGAGATATATTGTGACTTCTGCCACATTTGCTAATGACGTTGGGCGTGCAATGTGTATCCCAGCCTCTCACTATGCACCAAAAGACATTAAAAGATATATACTTGTTGTTACCTTGCCTGGCGATCGGCATAAAGGGGCTGAAACAAGGACTGGTCAGTATACTTTGTCTGAGTTGGGTATCCATGTTAAACTGTGGCATGGTATCTCAGTAGGCTAGCACTATAAACTCTTGGACGCGACGTAAACCCCCATTTCACCTCACATACCTCTTGCAAAATGTATATTAGTGCAATGATCTTGAACGCGACGTTAAACCCAATTTCGACCTTACCACCTTTTACTTTGTACATACAATAAACTACGGTTATAACGAACACGTTTATAACGAACTGGTGTGTTTTTTGGCCCCATCCATTTGCTGTATATATGTTTATAACGAACTACGGTTATAACGAATTAAAATTAGTGGTCCCTTTGAATTCGTTATAACTGTAGTTTACTGTATCTTATTGTCTGTTGCAAATCATGCATATGTATTTACACCAGGCTGTGATATTTTGTTTAATCAAATTGTAATTTGTTTAATAAACGTATTTTTTATAAACATGAAATTGTATTTACTCTAAACGAACCCAGTGTCCCTTGCGGGTTTATGTAATATGAATTGTGAATGCAAGAGAACAGCCAATAGATTATCCGGCAAAACAGATTCCATTTAACGTGAGGGGCATAATAGCTGTGAAAAGTATATGAAAGTGAATTATCAAAACATGTGTTTCCTGTGCAAATATATACGGTATAAGCAGAACTTAACATGATCGGTAAAACAATAATAGTTGTATGTGTGTGCGCCGTAAAAGGTTTTACGTGAGTACCCAGTGAACAATAACAGTTGTATGTGGGTACCGAGTAAACAATAACAGTTGTATGTGTGTACCCAGTGAACAATAACAGTTGTATGTGTGTACCCAGTGAAACAATAACAGTTGTATGTGTGTACCCAGTGAAACAATAACAGTTGTATGTGTGTACCCAGTGAAACAATAACAGTTGTATGTGTGTACCCAGTAAACAATAACAGTTGTATGTGTGTACCCAGTGAAACAATAACAGTTGTATATGGGTACCCAGTGAAACAATAACAGTTGTATGTGTGTACCCAGTGAAACAATAACAGTTGTATGTGTGTACCCAGTAAACAATAACAGTTGTATGTGTGTACCCAGTGAAACAATAACAGTTGTATGTGGGTACCCAGTAAACAATAACAGTTGTATGTGTGTACCCAGTAAACAGTAACAGTTGTATGTGTGTACCCAGTAAACAATAACAGTTGTATGTGTGTACCCAGTAAACAGTAACAGTTGTATGTGTGTACCCAGTAAACAATAACAGTTGTATGTGTGTACCCAGTAAACAGTAACAGTTGTATGTGGGTACCCAGTAAACAATAACAGTTGTATATGGGTACCCAGTGAACAATAACAGTTTTATGTGTGTACCCAGTGAAACAATAACAGTTGTATGTGTGTACCCAGTAAACAATAACAGCTGTATGTGTGTACCCAGTAAACAATAACAGTTGTATGTTGTTACCCAGTAAACAATAACAGTTGTATGTGTGTACCCAGTAAACAATAACAGTTGTATGTGTGTACCCAGTAAACAATAACAGTTGTATGCGGGTACCCAGTAAACAATAACAGTTGTATGTGTGTACCCAGTAAACAATAACAGTTGTATGTTGTTACCCAGTAAACAATAACAATTGTATGTGTGTACCAAGTAAACAATAACAGTTGTATGTGTGTACCCAGTAAAACAATAACAGTTGTATGTGTGTACCCAGTAAACAAAAACAGTTGTATGTGTGTACCCAGTAAACAATAACAGTTGTATGTGTGTACCAAGTAAACAATAACAGTTGTATATGGGTACCCAGTAAACAAAAACAGTTGTATGTGTGTACCCAGTAAACAATAACAGTTGTATGTGTGTACCCAGTAAACAATAACAGTTGTATGTTGTTACCCAATAAACAATAACAATTGTATGTGTGTACCCAGTAAACAATAACAGTTGTATGTGTGTACCCAGTAAACAATAACAATTGTATGTGGGTACCCAGTAAACAGTAACAGTTGTATGTTGGTACCCTGTAAACAATAACAGTTGTATCTGGGTACCCAGTAAAACAATAACAGTTGTATGTGTGTACCCAGTAAACAGTAACAATTGTATGTGGGTACCCAGTAAACAATAACAGTTGTATGTGTGTACCCAGTAAACAATAACAGTTGTATATGGGTACCAAGTAAACAATAACAATTGTATATGTGTACCCAGTAAACAATAACAGTTGTATGTGGGTACCTAGTAAACAATAACAGTTGTATGTGGTTGCCCAGTAAAACAATAACAGTTGTATGTGTGTACCCAGTAAACAATAACAGTTGTATGTTGTTACCCAGTAAACAATAACAGTTGTATATGGGTACCCAGTAAACAATAACAGTTGTATGCGGGTACCCAGTAAACAATAACAGTTGTATGTTGTTACCCAGTAAACAATAACAGTTGTATGTGTGTACCCAGTAAACAATAACAGTTGTATATGGGTACCCAGTAAACAGTAACAGTTGTATGTTGTTACCCAGTAAACAATAACAATTGTATGTGTGTACCCAGTAAACAATAACAGTTGTATGTGGGTACCTAGTAAACAATAACAGTTGTATGTTGTTACCCAGTAAACAATAACAGTTGTATGTTTGTACCCAGTAAACAATAACAATTGTATGTGTGTACCAAGTAAACAATAACAATTGTATGTGGGTACCCAGTAAACAATAACAATTGTATGTGTGTACCCAGTAAACAATAACAGTTGTATATGGGTACCTAGTAAACAATAACAGTTGTATGTTGTTACCCAGTAAACAATAACAGTTGTATGTTTGTACCCAGTAAAAATAACAGTTGTATGTGTGTACCAAGTAAACAATAACAATTGTATGTGGGTACCCAGTAAACAATAACAATTGTATGTGTGTACCCAGTAAACAATAACAATTGTATGTGGGTACCCAGTAAACAATAACAATTGTATGTGTGTACCCAGTAAACAATAACAGTTGTATGTGTGTACCCAGTAAACAATAACAATTGTATGTGTGTACCCAGTAAACAATAACAATTGTATGTGGGTACCCAGTAAATAATAACAATTGTATGTGGGTACCCAGTAAACAATAATAGTTGTATGTGGTTGCCCAGTAAATAATAACAGTTGTATGTGGGTTCCCCGTAAAACATTACTAGTTGTGTGTGGATACCCACTGAAACAATAATAGTTGTATAGGTCTGTCATATTTTTTGTTGAAAACCTTTATCAAACATCCATAATTAGTTGAGCTTATAATGTACTTAATTTTGTGTGTTTTTATTATGTATGTTCATTTTAACACAGAAGATGTGAGTACATGCTTCTACCAACAGTACCTTTTTGATATGTTACTTAATGTCCCTTTTGTATGACGCTGCTACCCACTGGTATTACACCATTATACAGATAAGTGTCCCTCGAGGTGCAGTGCGAGTCTTTTATCATGATGTTATCGCCGTTGTATTAACATATACACATGTGCATGGAGTTGCCCCTTAAAGGCGTTTGGGTCTATTCACTCGAAGAGCCTTTAAGGACCTCAATATCTCGTTAACAGAGTGAAGACAAACCTCGACATATCCTCTTTGTATATGTTTCCCAATGCTATGATTGTCAGGAAACATTAATCTGGACGACGGGAATGAAAGTTATCATGTTGATTGTGTTATGTAAGATAGCTGCACGATACATCGCAAAGTATACAATGAAGTACGAAGCGTGGTTGATTTCACGATAAAACATTGTTCTATCACGACGTCAATTCTTGTGATGCGAACATGCGCTCGCAACTTGATGACATAAATTGGACAACGTTTTTTTAGAGAGGTGTCAAGTGAGTTGGTCTCCATAGATACTAGTATAGCTGGGATAAGTAGATAAACCCAATGACCGAACGATCGCACCCACAATTGAGAGAGAGATGACAATCGCTTTGGGGAGAAAAGGTACAGATATTCGACGTGAAAATTGTGAGTTTTTGCGGGAAGGCAAAACCCTGTTCACAAAATGGATTCGTCGACATTGCCACGGTCGGATTCTATTCAGTGAGTCGTCATCGTTTAAATATGGGTAAATATTTTTAAAGCGTATTTTTTACTTACATCCTTAAAGAGGCTGTACAAAATGTTGATATCTCATATAAGAAATAAAGGACTCGTGGTTGTTGTTTATCGTACAATAAAACACTGCAGGGAGAATAAACCGCTCGGGGCTGCGGATCTCGTCTGCCTATGAAGATCGAATCAAGTAATAGACCATTCTAATTAGCATCCAATCAGTTTGTCACAACTGGTTAATCCTTTTATCCTTATTCTTACTATGCAACTGGCTTCTTTGCCCGTGTGCTTCAATACCTGTGTGCTATTTGTTATCCTTACTGTACACCTGACTTCTTTACCCGTGTGCTTCAATACCTGTGTGCTATTTGTTATCCTTACTGTACCTGGCTTCTTTACCCGTGTGCTTCAATACCTGTGAGTCATTTGTTATCCTTACTGTACACCTGGCTTCTTTACCCATGTGCTTCATTACCTTGAGCTATTTGTTATTCTTACTGTACACCTGACATCTTTACCCATGTGCTTCATTACCTTGTGCTATTTGTTGTTCTTACTGTACACCTGACTTCTTTACCCGTGTGCTTCAATACCTGTGTGTCATTTGTTATCCTTACTGTACACCTGGCTTCTTTACCCATGTGCTTCATTACCTTGTGCTATTTGTTATTCTTACTGTACACCTGACTTCTTTACCCGTGTGCTTAAATACCTGTGTGCTATTTGTTATCCTTACTGTACACCTGACTTCTTTACCCGTGTGCTTCAATACCTGTGTGCTATTTGTTATCCTTACTGTACCTGGCTTCTTTACCCATGTGCTTCAATACCTGTGTGTCATTTGTTATCCTTACTGTACACCTGGCTTCTTTACCCATGTGCTTCATTACCTTGTGCTATTTGTTATTCTTACTGTACACCTGACTTCTTTACCCGTGTGCTTCAATACCTGTGTGCTATTTGTTATCCTTACTGTACACCTGACTTCTTTACCCGTGTGCTTCAATACCTGTGTGCTATTTGTTATTCTTTCTGTTCATTTGGCTTCGTCCAATCATCTACTACTTCATTGTTGTCAATGTTCATCAGTTGCTTATCACAACATGTCATGCATATATACCTCACATCACATGGCTGTCACTCAAGCTTGATGACAGTGTAAGAATCGACATCGAAACGTCGCTATATGCAACAAACCAGAAGTTGTTATCCAAAAGCTGACGTTGTTTACTTACTAACTTCTAGAATGCCAATCAAACTGTTAGTTTACCACTTCTCTGAATCCACCGAGCATGGTGCTGACATCCCTTGTGTCTTTTCTCAGGGACTACTTTAACCATCAATAAGTCAGGAGCATCATTTCAATTTGGACGCTTCCGAAGAAT